GGAAGCGCATTCCGGGAATGCTTGGCCCAAACTTTTTTTTTTCCCCCCTTCCCGCGGCCTGAGCGAGCGATGCTGGGAGATGTAGTCGCCCGGGCCGGGAAAGGAGGGCATGGGGGCTCTGGGCTTCCTTCCTCTGCTCCAACTCTTAATACCGTGGTGCACTCCCGGGCCCTCGTCTTCCGTCTTACCCACCCTCCCTTGGTTGAATCCAAGTTCTCTTGCACGTACTCTCTCTCCCTACCATCTGCTCCAGCCTGGTGCAAGCCCTGGCATCACTTGTTTCGATGACACCCCCTCTTCCTTAGGGATGGCCGTTTAACAAACCATCCCAAAACTTATGGTGTAAAACAGCCGTTTTCTCATGCTCACAGATGCTGTGAGTCAGGGATTTGGGCAGGGCAGAGCTGGCACTGATTGTCTCTACTCCTCTGCTGGACAGACTTTGAGGTTTAGGGGTGACTCAACAAACGGGGAGCCGGAATCATCTGGAGGCACGTTCACTCAGGTCTTGCAGTTGATGCCAGCTGTGGGCTGGGACCTCCGCCCGGCTGTGTGTGAGGGCGGCTACGGGGGCCTCCGGTGTGGCCCGGACTTCCTCCCGCAGGTCGGTGATCGGGGCAGTTGGGCTTCTACACAGCCTAACAGGGCTCCAAAAGTGAGCAGGGCAGGAGCTGCATTACCTTTCCTGACCCAGCCTTGGATGTCATGCTGTGTCACTTCTGGCACCAGATTCGAGAGAAGGGGACATAGACCCCACCTGTCTCAGTGGGCAGTGTGTCAAGGTGACCTTGTGCAAGAGGATGTGGGATGGGAGATATTATTGTGGCCGTCTTGGAAAATTTAACCCACCTCACTCCTACATTCCATTCTCTATGCAGTGCCTAGAGTAGACTTAAAAAGCTGAAATCAGATCATTGCATGCCCCTGCTGAACAATCTTCCTATGACTGCTCACCCCACCTAGAATAAAATCCAGATTCCCATGAATAAAAGCCAGTCCCAACAAGACTTCTGGCCTCATCTCCTTTGTTGTCCCTGTCGCTCCCTGTGGTCTCCTGTCTGGTCCTCCTTCACATCAAACTGTTCCTGCGCCAGGCCCTTTGTACGTACACTTCCCTCTGCTTGGGAAGCCCTGGTTCTTCTGAAGTTGCCTCTTTCTCATCCTTTAGTTCCAACAGCACCTCTCTGGGAGGCCCTCCTTGAGCACACACCATTGTCTAGTCATTATTATACCACTGTGTTTAATTTCTTTGAACACTTGCCACAGCTTGAACTTAACAGCTCCAGTGGTTGGCTCTAGTTTATCTGCTTCCTTGTCCAGATTGGAGACCAGCTTCACCAGATGCTTGTCAGTCTTGTTCACTGCTGAATGGGTGGGTGCCAGGTGACGAGGCCTGGACAGAGGAGGTTGTGTGTGTTTGTCCTACTTTGAGTTCATTGAACTTCTTGGATGTGTAGATTCATTTCTTTCATCAGTTCTGGGAAGTTTTTTGACCATTATTTCTTCAACTATTCTTTCTGCCCCTTTTTCTTCTTTCCTTCTGGACTCCCGTTATGCGTATGTTGGTATGCTTGATAGTGTCCCACAAGTCTCTTAGGCTCTGTTCATTTTTCTTGTATGTGTGTATTTGGGAGGAGTCAGGCTGGAGAAGGGTGGGGTGCACCCCACTAGATCCCTGCCCAGATGTCTGTGAGGTAGCTGCTGGCAATAGGGAGAGAGGTTGGGGGTCAAGACGACACCTCTTCACAAGTCCAAGGCAGGGAGCACAGGACTAGTGTCCCATTGGGGTTCTCCAGAATCTCAGAGGAGCTGGAGGCCAGGGTGGGGGTGAGAGCAGTCCTTGGCCCCACCCATATCACATCAAATGATTAAAAAAATGCTCACATGCCACATCAATATTTATTATTTTTTGGGAAACTCTTTTCACAGGGTTTCTCTATTTTTCTTGTTGCATTTATTTGGCTACATGTAGCTCATTTAATTCATAGTTGCCTATGATTCTTTCTCAGTAATAAGAAATTCTTGATAAGTGAGAACCAAAGATTTACAAACTGTTTATAATGAAATGGTCATGAGTACTAAGTGTCACACTTCTGAAGTTCGTACAGTTGTTCATCTGGGTTTTGGTAGTTGCTCTTTAGAGTTTGGAGCCTGTGTGTGTGTGTTTTCTTTCCCCAAATGTTCTCACTGGCTGCAGGCCTGATGTGCTGTGCTATAGTTCCTGATAGATAAGTCAGCCTCCAGTGTATATGGGGATTTGTTGGAAGAAGAAATGCAGGTGCAGGGGGCTGGCCAGGTTTGAGCAGAGCTCTGCACCTCTGTGGCAGACAGTGGGGCTGGTGGATAAGTGCCCCAGCTCCCTCGCCCCTTGTGTGGGATGGCTGAGGTGTATGCTCTGCACTGACCCCCAGAGGCCCCTCTGGGGTGAGCTCCAGCTGCTCACCTGCATCTCAACACACTCTTTACCGCCTTCCTTCTGTTCCCTGTCTCACTCCTCCACCACCTTTCCAGCATTTCCTGGATCACATCCCAGATAAACTACTTGCACTTGAATCTTGATCTCAGGGTGGCTTTGGGGGAATCCAAGCATAGACCTTCTCTCTATGCCTCAGTTTCCTCATCCATCTAAAAGGAAGAATAACTCCCCTGTTGTCATGGCTGTAAGGATGGGGGTGATGGAGGAGGGACATGTGTCTGTGGGCTAAGTCTGCCGTTTGCCACCTCCCTGGGGTCCTTAGTTCCCGGGGAATGGAAGATGGAGAAGGTCATGGGGAGCAGGCCTCAGCTTCTTTCACCCCTTGTTGTCATTCCCAGTTGTCCCTGCACCTGAGGCTCGCTTGTATCTGGCATTTTCCAGGGTGTGGAGGCCAGTGCCTTGGCCTGCGCAGGCTTCCTTGGCCAGGAGTCAGTTCTCAGAGGAGTGGGGAGGAAGTGGCTGCTGTCCACTGGGGCAGCATTGAGGAGCTTGAGGGAGAGCTGGCGGTCAAGTCCTCGCGAGGCAGCTTCCTGAGGCAGGATGTGGTGTCACCTGGGAGGCAGTCAACAGAGCAGCGCACGTTGGCCAGAGCCTCCCAGTGGCCCTTGGAGAAGCCCAGGTGCAGCGGGGCCCCCAGCACCATCGTAGGGCCCTCCTTTTATCAGCAGCAGGTCTGCTGGGCTCTTCTGCTGACCAGGCCCCAGGACACATTCAGCAGCGGGTCACCTGCAGCCATGCCAAGACCTTCCCTGGTGCCCGGCCTGCAGGGCCTGGGGGTGCAGGCGTGGCCGCGAGGGCCTCGTAGATGCTGGGTGTCCCAGAGGAAGGGGAGGCAGCCTGCAGACAGGTGGCCAGTCAGGTAGGGACAAGTGGCCTGGGGTGGGCAGGGCCAGGCAGAGACCCCATGTCATTCCTCCCCCTCCTCCCTCCCTCCCAGGTCTCTGGGTTCTGCACATTCCAGAGAAAGGTCTGGCCCTTGACTGGCTCCTGGGAGGTAGCCTCTAAGCCCTTGGAGTATCCTGCCTGATAAGAACCTCTTTGTATACCTGGAGGCCATGCCACATGGTTTATGATAACAATATGGTTTATGGTGAGGGCCTTGGGCCACGCTGTGTCAGTCTGACCTCTGGAGGGCTGGAGATTGAGTGACTAAGGTCAGCTGCCTGGGTGGTCAGCCATGTCTATGTGGCTGATATGGGCTGAATTTCATCCCCCCCAATTCATATGTTGAAATCCTAACCCCCCAGTACCTCAGAATGTGACTGTATTTGGAGATAGTGTCCTTAAACAGGTGATTAAATTAAAATGAGGTCGTTAGGGTAGGCCCTAGTGCAATAGGACTGTGGACGGAAGACAATGTGAAGACACAGGCCATCTACAAGCTAGGGAGAGAGCCCTCAGAGGGAGCTCTGATTCCTTGATCAAGCTCTGACGCCTTGATCTCAGACTTCCAGCCTCCAGAACTGTGAGAAAATAAATTTCTGTTGTTTAAGCCGCCAGCCTGTGGGGTTTTGTTATGGCCGTCCTAGGAAACTAATGCAGTGGCCAACCACCAGTGCAAGCCCTGGACACCAAGACTCACGTGAGCCTCTCTGGCTGGCAGCACACCGTGTGTGTTGTCACACATCCTTGCTGGGAGAATTGAGTGACGTCCACACGCCTTCACGGGAGGGGGTGACTGGAGGCTTGTGCCTGGCCTGTCCTGGACCCCACCCCTGCGCCTTCTACCTCTGCTGATTCTCACCTGTGTGCTTCCCCTGTAACAAGCCGTGAGTGTGACAACTTTGCTGAGTCCTGTGGGTCCTCCCAGTGGGTCATGGAACCTGAGGGGTCTCAGGGACCTCCCACTGCACAGGTTCACGGAGATGGAGATGTGCTTCTGTGAGTAGGAGTGCCCCTGCAGGACCTCGGGCTCCAGCCTCACTGAGCCCTCCCTCACACCTTGCTGGGTGCAGCTGTCTCGTCTCTCCCAGCAGCTGATCCACCTTTGGCCCCAAAGCCTCACCTGAGGCAGGACCTGAGCTGATCCAAGCTGCAGCATGACCTGGGGCAAGTCACCTGTCGGGGAGGACATCCAGCATCCTGGTGGAATCAGGGGTCAGTTTTGGGGTCACACTAGGCTGGATTGGAATCTCCCCTCTGCCCCCACCCAGCATGGAGCCTTGGGACAGTCACTTTCCCTCTCGGAGCCTCAGTGTCTGAGTCTGTAAAATTGCTTTGAATCACCCAATAAAATCCTGTGTGGAAAGCAGTGTTACTGTACGTTCATACTGGCCAGGGTCACTCTGCTCCTTCAGATCTGGATAAGTTGGCTCAAACCCCTTCCAACACCCTCACTGAGATTTTGGAGAATTCCTACGTGGTTATTTTCTCGTGGTCTCCTGTTATTGCTGAATTAGG